TTCTTCACTTTGTCCGATTCCAAATCGTCCACTCCCAGAGTGTCCTTCCGAAAGGCCCCGAACGGCTTCAAGATTCTGCGCAGGTTTCCTGGTTGATCACTAGTCACAGTACGACTCTTTCTCATCTCAAGTTGAAAAGTGATTGGATTGTGGGTTTAGATATTGCGGATTACCGACCCAGAAGTAACTCGTGGTTCCAACGAGACTTGGCGCATTAGTTTCAATAGGTCAATCGGTATATCCACTCGGATTTCATGGTACCACGAAAGCGAACCTAGGATACCCCTGGATAAGGCGTCCACCGTGTTCGTGTTAGATGTAACACGTTTTGCTTTGATATTTCATTCCAGAATGGTAAGAACTCGTTGTATTGCCTTCCACTCTTTGTTCACGTGCACATCCTTTGATTTACGCTTATTGACCGTGGACTGGGATGTTGTATTGTCGGTCCAGACAACGAAACACTTCCCTAATTAACGGATTAGGACAACATTCAATAAGGCGACGTGCCACCTTAAAAGGGGTTGAGTCAATCTACGGCTCACCTGTCACTTTCCTTATTTTATGCAAAACTAACAAGCCTAACCTAATTGCTGCAGTTTCTGCCCAAGCAATGGACCGCTTCCCCTCCAACAGGTCGAGGGTCTGCCAACCTTCTACAAACTGGAAGCAAGCCCAGTGAGGTCCTATCAGGACACCAATGCCAAACGACAACGAAGCGTCTCCCGACCAGTTGATCCCGAGTGCTTTCTTTTCCGGGATTATCGGTCTGGAATTGAAGGTGCTCAAGCACAGATCCCACTCTTGGAGATCTATCCTGGCGCTTGTAGTCAACTGACGCAGTGCCGCCGTGTTTCTCCAACTCTTAAGCATTCTGTACAGAGAATTTACATAAGGCTTCATGTGGGGTACAATGCTCATCGTATGAACCAGTCGTCCCGTAACTGTAAGGTGGAGTGTACTCTCCACCTTCACTAAGAGTTTCGAGTAATGGGACAAGCTCAGAAAGAGCGAGGGATTTATCTAATCCCCTTGATTCAATTATCTAGTCCAGCACTTCAGTGATCAGAAAACCAGTATAACGTAATAGATGATAAAAGAGTAATATAAGTAAGATCCACCATACCTAGTCCAGCACTTCAGTGATCAGAAAACCAGTATAACGTAATAGATGATAAAAGAGTAAGATAAGTAAGATCCACAAAGGAGAAAAGAAAACAACTTGTAAGGGGGCGGAAGACTCTAAATAATCTATCTACCTATTATAACCCATAATGTAAACCCATGTACTGTATGTCATACTTCCAACCCCTTACACCCTCCCCACCAAAAAACCAACAAACCCCTCCGCAAAATATTCTTATCCCTCCTAAAATCAACCATCAAAAACCAAAAGAAAATAAAAATAAAAGAAAAGAAAAAAAAGGAAAACATAAAACCACTACCATTCCACCAACTGAACCAGGTATCCATCCGAAAATATCAACAACCGTCCTTGTCCTGCAGAAGAGAGACCCAAAATGGAGGTGCTCACAGGCGTGGCCAAGGTATGTTTTTGATTGAAACAAAGGAGGTAGAACCCCACGGTCGGTGCATACGATAAGGAGGAGACTTACTTGCACAAGGTAGCTCCTCGCCAAAATCACGTCCCTTCCACTTCCGCCGTGTGATAAATCTTCAACTTTGACCCATGAAACACATCGTGCGTATTATCGCCCTCTGGCAGCTGAAGTTTGAAGTCACGACCCTCATTCAATACTTGAAGCACCCTGTACGGTCCATCGTAACATGCCCGTAATTTAGCGACTCTTCCACCTACCACCTGAGACCTGTTTGCACTGTCAACCAATACCATATCACCAACCTTCGCACCCAACTCTCCTCCTCGACGCTTATTGTATTGAACAGCCTGATCTACCCTTGATGCCCACAATCTATCTCTCCACGACGCCCACTCGCTCTCTCTGGTCTTCAACCACACTTCAACATCCTCGCTCACCTGAGCATCAACATGTGGGATGGGGAACAGTCTAGGTTGTATACCAAGTACAAATCTCATTGGAGATACACCAGTTGCGCTGTTGACTGCCGAGTTGATGGCATACTCCGCCAGAGGTAAAGCTTCCACCCACTTGCCTTGCTTCTCCTGTGTTGAAAAGCGCAGAATTTGACCAAAGGTTTTGTTTGTTCGCTCAGATCGTCCATCTGCTTGAGGATGGTAAGCCGTAGTTAATTTTACCTCAATACCCATCATCTGATGCAATTCTCTCCAGAACCTAGATTGCCACGTTTTGTCCCTATCTCCTACCATTTCATCAGGTGCGCCGAAAATTGACAACCATGACTGAAATAATCGTTGAGCAGTTTTTTCAGCGGTGTCCCGTTGATTTACCGGTATGAGCTGAACAAAACCAGTCAAACGGCAAGTACACAATAACACCATGTCGTAACTTGACACCTTGGGGAACGGTCCTACAAAGTCTGATGCGATACTACTGAAAGGCCTCCTGGGTAAGTCTGTACTTTGCAATTGCCCAATGATCTTGGTCGTCCTAGCTTTGAATCTTTGACATCCATCACAACAACTCACATGCTTCTCCACATCATCATACAACCCCAACCAGTAGAACTCCTGCCTCAATATAGCCGCTGTCTTAACCGCTCCCAAGTGTCCCACCGCTACATGCGCCGAAGTGACCAAATCCTTACAAAGAGTTCCTACAGAAGGAATGACCAGACGGTTATCGATGTACATCAATCCATCCTTCAGAACACAATTGTTTCTTAGTGGCAGAACTTTCGAAAGTTTGACACAAAACGGATCCATTTCATAACCACTCTTCACCTGATCTACAAAAGAATCATCAAGGCCTGCAGTTGATATGGTTAAAGCCGCTGATTCCACTCTAGACAACGCGTCCGCCACCGAGTTATCGGCACCTTGCAGGTACTGAAAGTTTAGATCGAATTGGGACAGTGTCTCCAACCAACGAGCCTGTCGTCGACTGAGGTTCCGTTGAGTTAATAAATGGGTCAGAGAATGGTGATCGGTCATGACATGTACCTTCAATCCCATCAGCAGAAGCTTCCATTTGTTCAAAGCACTGATAACAGCCAACAGCTCCTGTTCATGAACCGGATAATTACGCTCCGCTGCTGTCATCTGTCTCTCGTCATAAGCTATTGGATTGGCAGTCTCCCAATTCTCCCCTTGAAACAACGCCGCACCTAAACCATGTCCACTTGCATCTGTAAACAACCAAATTGGTTCCTCCGAGTCATAATCAATATTTCGAAGCACCGGTAACGTAGTTATCATTCTTTTAATATTCTCAAATGCTGCATCCTCTTTCTCAGTCCATTCAAATGAATTAAGCTTCTTATTACTAGTTAACGGTGTCAGTTGGCCTGTATACCGCTGCAAACCCTCCACAAACTTCTTTAACCACTGCACAGTTCCTAAAAATTCCTTCACATGTTTAGGGGTTGAGGGTCTCTTCCAATTTGCCACCTTTATAACCTTATCCTCATCCGGTCTAATACCATCCTCACTAATCTCATGACCCAGAAATTTTATCTGTCTCCTGAAAAGCTGGGTTTTCTTCAATCCGCAATACAAATTTGCTGCTCTTAACCTTCTCAACACCTCCCTTAAATGCTCTTCATGTTCTTCAACTGTCTGCGAAAAGACTACTATGTCATCAATATACACGACACAAATACGATTCACCAAGTCTCCTAACGCTTCCTCGCAACGTCTTTGTTGAGTAGCAGGGGCATTTGTCAAACCCATAGGCATGACAACCCATTCATATAATCCCCACGGGGTTTTGATAGCCGTTAAAGGTATATCTTTCTCACGCATAAGCGTCTGAAAGAAAGCATTGATTTGGTCTAACAATGAATAGATCCTTCCCTGAGCTACAATACGAACACATTCATCCACTATAGGTAGAGGACCCCTATCTTTAACAGTATATTTATTCAATTTCCGATAGTCACATATAAGACGAGGAAGTGCCTTAGGGTCCTTTTTTGGTATGATCATGGAGGGTGAGGCATATTGGCTCTTTGATTTCCTAATCCTCCCCGCCTTCAAGTGTTAATTCAATAATTTTGCCCACACATCCAAGTGTTTACGCGGGTAACCATAACTTCGTTCGTTAATGACAACATCCGGGTTCGTCAACTCAATACAATGTCGTGTCAAAGACGACTCATCCTGATTCTTCTCAGGGAAAAATTCTGCATCATCATCCACACTTTCCACATCTGGTAAGTCCTCAGGAAACAAATCCTGGAATTCTCTTAATATCTTCATTTCACAAATAGAAAAATCACGGGCTTTGTCAACTTTAGCTAAATTATCAAAAACAGTTGCCAGCAACACCTCTCTTCGTTTATGTAATTCCTTCAACTCCTCCTCTTCACTCTTTTCCACTACTGCCTTAAACTCATAACCGTTCTTTGAACTCCTCAACAAACCTCTACTGACTGACACATCCAACCGATGTTTTGATAAGAATGGAGTACCTAAAATAATATCATATGATCCTCCAAGCGGAGCTAATTTGAAAGGAGTAACACCAAAAGTAAAAGTGGGGCGATCACATGTCAAATTAGCAAAAGCGAACTCCTTCAAAGTGAAGGGTACAGGCTCGGAAACGATTGCTGGACGCACAGTTACTGGTCGAGGTAACAGTCGCTTCACCACCTTCAGTTTAGTGGCTACCTTCTCCGACATCAAGTTCGTACCTGCACCAGTATCCGCCAATGCCCGCATTTTGACACCGTTGACCGTAATTTCAAGGATCAGAGGAGACACTCGATGAGTTTGGAGTTCACTCGCACAGGAAGATACAGAATCAGAAGGTACGCACTCGGCTGCGTCGACCAAGTCATCCTCAGGCTCCGCCTGTAATCTTTCAATGAGTTGATTGTAGGCTAACTCGTCCTCCCTTCCCAGATCTGGAAAACTATCGACTGCCGCTAAGTCCACACTAGGCGTTTCCTCCACGGCCGCTACATCTACCCGTCGCGCTGCAGGTCTAGGAGCCGCATTCTGAGCCACTTTAGATACCGTATTGGAAGACTTGGGTGGTGGATAAGGGGGGGAACGGGCGAAATCTGGTGGAACCGGGTAATAAGCCGAGTTCGTGTCCGCCGTACAACCTCCTAACCATTTCAAACATGACGTCTTGCACCGTGGACATAGACCAATCGATCTCATGTACGCCATAAACCTAGCATTACGCGCGGCTTGCTCCTCAGGAGATAGAGCTGCTCGAAAGGGTGCTGATCCTCTTTGATTTTGGGACGTCAAAACTGTTGGAGTAGCCGAAAGGTTGTTAGAAGACCGTGGGATACGACTTTGAATACGTGGTTCAAGTTCTAACGCAAAGTCCCACGCCAAGCATGCCTTCTGTTCGAAAGCTGCAAAGGAAAACTTCTGAGAGACCGGGTTGATACTCGATTTGATTATTTGATCACGCTGTTGTATAGACCTGAATAACGAAGTAGAACCTCCAACTATAGCCCATGCCAAAGCCTCCTCAGAACACTCTTCTAAACCTGCCGCCTCCTGTAACACCCTAGCCCTTGCACAAAACGCACTTATGTGCTCATTTGGTCGCATCGCCAATTCGCGGATTTGCTGTTTGACCTTATCCAACCAGTCCGCTGGCAAAATGACAGATTCCATTTCTTTCATAGCGGATAACCAAGTATGACCAGTAAAATCACCCGATCTGCGACACCAAGACGCCGCTGGGTTGGTACTCAACAATAACGGCAACACGCTGAATTTATCGGAATCGAGCACCAAGCCTTTGACTAAAAAAAGCCGTTCCACCTTATGACGCCATATACGATAGGCTGCTACATCGCCATACTTTCCTTTATATTCTGGAAAGTCGGTGATACGAAAACGAAGCGGATCAATAGCGCTAACCGGTACTTGATCCACTGACGGTGTTTGACTTGCCGGGGGTACTAGTGGTCGATGAAACGGGTTTTGGTGCAAAGGTGTCGAAGAGTAAACTTGTTGATTGAACACAGGATCTGCAGATGAGGATACATGCCGGGTACCAAGAGCATGCGGAACAGGAGTAGCTTGCAAGTCCGTAATACCACTTTGCTCCTGTAACTTTGGTTGAGTCGCCGGAGCCGGTGTAGAAATTTGAGCTGACATCATTTGTTGAATAAGAGCTCGGAGACTGTTCATCTCAGCTCGCATTTTGGCCTGCACCTCAGCAATCGAGACTTGCTCTTGAGTAACCTCTGTGCCCGTCACTCCAGGCTGACCGGTCGGTTGTACAGGATGGTCACCTTCATTTTCGATGGACCTGTTGCCGGCCGGTACGTCAGTCATAGCAAACGACTGACACGGATCAAACGCTCCAGGAATACTACGCCGAGGGGGATGAGGTAACCGCAGTTGAGGTAATGTTGGAGACGCTAAACTAGACAATTGATCGAGTTCGACAGAATCGACGAGAGATGGTGTGTTCGAAGCCACTAGTTGACTGGCTATTGGTGACCATACAGATGGAGAGGGATATAGGACTCCAATCCCCGAACGATCAGGCGGATTAAGAAAGGAATTGATTTCACGATGGAATAACGAGGTGGCCGTAACGTTTGCCACTGAAACTGGTGGGTGTACCTCGGTGGATCTCAAGGTAGGATTCGAACGAGTCAGTCGCAGAATGCCTTCCGGATTAGGAACCGATACTAACTCTGAAACAGGATTATTACGTGTATGACGAGGGTTGTTTGACATCAAACAAACTTTAAACTGGTTGAAACAAAATAAAGGCGACAACGCCACTGAGTGGGGACAATTGAATCTGTAACTTAAAACGTTGGCGACCGATTAGGGTGCGAGACCGAGACGAGTGACTGGTGAACTCGAGGGATGTATTGAATCCCAACAATCGGATTCGTTGAACGTCGAACAAGGGGGATAAAAAAAGTGTAAGGTGGAGTGTACTCTCCACCTTCACTAAGAGTTTCGAGTAATGGGACAAGCTCAGAAAGAGCGAGGGATTTATCTAATCCCCTTGATTCAATTATCTAGTCCAGCACTTCAGTGATCAGAAAACCAGTATAACGTAATAGATGATAAAAGAGTAAGATAAGTAAGATCCACCATACCTAGTCCAGCACTTCAGTGATCAGAAAACCAGTATAACGTAATAGATGATAAAAGAGTAAGATAAGTAAGATCCACAAAGGAGAAAAGAAAACAACTTGTAAGGGGGCGGAAGACTCTAAATAATCTATCTACCTATTATAACCCATAATGTAAACCCATGTACTGTATGTCATACTTCCAACCCCTTACAGTAACTTGTTCGATGGTCTTAAAGGAACATGGGCCTGGAGCCAGTAAGTCCTTAATTTGCTGCCTCCGCTGCTGTAGTTTCTCATCTGGTAGCCGTACCGTATGATCTTTACCGTTCCAGATGAACCCCAAGAACCTTTGTTCATCGGCAAATTTGTGATTCTTTACTGGGTTAGTTTGAACTCCCAAGCTATTACTCAAAATTTCAACCGTTGCTAACAAGACTGGATCTTCTGGTCGTTTGAGGAGCAGGTTATCATCAACCCACTGGAATATCTTCCGGACGCCTGAGACTTTCTCCATTATCAACTTCCAGACGTGCGCAGGGGCGCCGAATACGCCACAACTTGCTACGCCGCCGAAACCAACCGCCAGGTCCACCCAGAGCCTTCCTGGAAATCCATGATGATCAAAAACCAACGCTGGCAAGGGTGCACCGATAATTGACGGTAAGACTTCTGCCAATCAAAAATGGCGATCATCCATTCCCCCGGGAACCTTCTAAAGAATCTGGCTACCCGATTGAAGTCATCCCATTGAGTACTGTAATTGTGTTTGTTGACAAACGAGTTGACTGATGGGATGTTGGGGTCTTGTTTAGGATATGAAAGGTCATTAATCAGACGGACTGAGCCATCGCCATTTAATGCACTTCCCATTGGGTTAGATCAAAAGAAACCAAATCTTTCTCTTAGTTTCTCATGCGTGAACGGTCCAGCTATACGCACCACCAACATATTTACCTCGGATTGAAAAATCCGAGGTATTATCGGATTACCAACCTCCGACAGAAGCTGTCCGAGGTTTTGATCCGAGGCAATTCCCAGCGCAGAAGATTACCTCGGACAAAAACCTCGGACAGACCTTGTCCGAGGTTTTACCTCCGATGATGCCTCGGATTCCGCAACCCGAGGCATCTATGTTGGCAGTGACGACCAGCCTTGAGTTCCTTGGCCAGAGTTCTCTCGATTTGGGTTTTGGCTGCCAGCGCGGTTGTATGATTCGCAGGCGTATACCATGGTAGGTCTTGGATCGAATGTTGGGGTATTCCCAGACAGAACCCATTCCTGAAGCTGTCGCTAATGTAAGGGATGCATTTTTCTAGACCTGCTTCCCGCATCAACTCTTCCCACTCCGCTATATTCATACGGCTCGGTACTGGTGCCGGCCAAGGGGGGTTCTCAACCGAAATCGTAAATAACTCCCTTTCCCACAAAGGTAGGGGTTCATCTGTGACACTCTCCTCGCTTGAGAATTCATCACTAGATTCATCACTCATAGATGAGGAGGATCCTGATTCCGACTCCTGAGGAACGAGTGTCTCTTTATGCGACTCCTCTCGGGGAACCTCATTCTCAGATTCCACGGGCAAAATTATTGGAGCACAATTACTAACGGCCATTGCTATTTGCAGCCCACACTACACCAAAGTACATCTTTTCTGTACGGTTTAGAAAAGTGTACATGTCATAGAAAACTACATTATTTTTATATGCTGCTTTGAAAGTATTGGAAATCAATCATGACCAATCTTTCTCCAGAGTACATGCATCAACAACACTATATGAGCTGTGCAACGTCTGGTGCAACAGTGTGTGTAGTTCAAACTGGGAAAATTAATTGGTGATATATTCATGCCTGCGTGATTCCTTTCACGTGAATACTTGTATATACATGTAGTGATGAAAGACTATTGAATAAGATCAATGTTGAAAACATTTTTGCTCGATCTATAATGAGACAACTTCGCTGGTAGTGTTACCTGAGGTATAAGAAGCCTAACGGTCAATTTCATAGGCTGTACAACTAATTTTGGAATTCTTCCCATCTACACATCTTCAAGACTAGACTAGTGTAACATGAAAAAGAAACAATTTCATCACTGACAAGATATCAATCATTGCTATCATTCTTCGAAATTTTTGGAACTGAGAATGATAAGATGAACGTAAAAAGCTTGCATAAAAGTCGCGTACAAGCCATTGGACCATAATATGAGTGGTACAAAATGCAATCAGAATACAAACCGTGGTGTTGACAACATAGAGTGTTCAGATAGTCTGGTGGATAAACGTAAAATAAAAGATAACACAATCTATCTTGTGTAGCTAATACAGTAGCACTGAACCAGCTTTTTCTGATGTAAGGCCAATACGTAGTGCATAAATAGACCCTGTAGTCAGATGATACATGTGACTGTGAATAGTTTGTCAGCAAAATAATGTGATTAGTTGAATCAATGATAAACAGCTCAGCAATCAACTAAAGATGTCTCTTACCAGAATTATGCTGCATGACAACGTAGAACATCCAGAAGGACTCATTCAACTCGTCACTTATTCCCTTTTATCACTTTTTATTCATTGAGGCGATGTAGATCATTGAAGTCACAATTATGCGCTCTCATCTAAAGTTTTCAAGATTGATCTTATTCAATAGTCTTTCATAACTACATGTACATACAAGTATTCACATAAAATGAATCACGCAGGCATGAATATATCACCAATTAATTTTCCCAGTTTGAACTACGCACATTGTTGCACCAGACGTTGCACAGCTCATATAGTGTTGTTGATGCATGTACTCTGGAGAAAGATTGGTCATGATTGATTTCCAATACTTTCAAAGCAGCATATAAAAATGATGTAGTTTTCTATGACATGTACACTTTTCTAAACCGTACAGAAAAGATGTACTTTGGTGTAGTGCCACAAGAAAACCATGTAGGCGCTGCCAAAACAGCGCCTACATGAGTGTTTCCCACGAAAAAGCGCCTACATTTATGATGTAGGCACTGAGAACCATTTGAAATGACGCCTACATGATAAACAACCCATGTAGGCATCATTTGGTTACGCCTACATTCAAAATCTCAGAATGTAGGCGTAATTGTCAAGCACCTACATATCTAATTTGAAATGTGGGCGCTATTTTTGAGCGCCTACATTCAATTTTCATATCAAATAAGCGCCTACATGCAGTCTTGCATATGTAGGCGCTCCAAATCCAACACCTACAACTCCAGACTGGTCTGACGGCTAATGACGAATAAGTTTCAAGTTAAAATGAGAGTATTGGAATACGGCAAAAGTAGTGCGAGAGTTGAAATGAGTGTA